ATATATGTTATATATATATATATATATTTGTTAAATTTAACTTCCATAAAGTCAGATAAACAGTGAAAAGACTAACGTGGCACATGGCTCCAAGCAAATGACTGCTGTTCAGGTTTGATGTAGAGAATAGAAAATAGAATTTAATACCATGGTAAACCAACAGAGTTCAAGACATATGCATATCCTAAGAATTAAGTTATCTCATTTTTGAAACTTGCTGTATTGTCTGGCCTATCATTTTGCTCTTCTTCTGACTCTTTGAAGTCTCAGTGCATTCTGTCTGAGTATGGAGAAGTGCTCTCCCCTGGCAAAGAAGAATTCAAACTAAAAAGGAGATTGGTGCTTCCTGGTTTATCCAGGTTATCTATTATTAATTTATTATTTGCAGTCCAAGAGGGAATATGCACCCAATGTACAATATCTTATATTCAACTTATGAACATAAACCCAAAGAAACATCAAATACAGTTCAAAAGCTCAAGAGGAAAGGGGGTAATAGGAAATAAGAACACTGACAAGTGTTTAGAGCACTAAATGCTAAAAAAACTAAGTGCAAACTGAAAATACTATTGAGATTTATAGGCACTGTGTGTAGCATGTGCAAACATTTGCAATGTTTTTCTCTCTTTTTTGGTATTGCTTTAATAAACTTTATCAAATATGTTTCTTACAAATATAAAGCTTCCTTTCCCAACTGAAGGCAATTTTAAAAAATTCAGTTTATCAGTACTCAAAACAGTAGCACAGGTGAACCAAATAAATTCGTCTTCCTTCTGGCAAAAAATAACAAACCAACGTTTATGATGTCAGAAGACTTAACAAATATCACTGTTGAGAAGCCGCTCAGAAAAACACTTCTGTTGCCAATGCCTTTTGCTCTTCAAAAGTTGCCAACCACCCGCTGAAGGCTTTATATGCAGATACCTTGAAAATTTCAGAGAAAAAAAAATTCAGTGAATCATTTGATGTGTCACTTTCATGGCTACAGGCCCAGAAAATATGCTGCTTTGCAAAAGCACTGTATACCAATAACAAGAGGGAATTTCCTGTATGGAACTATGGGTACAATGATAATAGAAATTCTTCTTCAAATTTTGGGAAAAATCTTAGAGTTCTAATCAATATGTCTCCCTCTTAAGAGGAAATAAAAATGGATTATGATAAGAGAGCTGAACCTGACAACCTATATTTTGATTTCTTTTAAGTTTTGGTCAGTAGCAAGTAGTATGTGCTTTTACTGCTTAGGGTAAGACTCCCCTTCTGAATATTTAGATAAGGGCCCCTCTCTCATGATGGATCGCAGAGATTCCTTCATATTTTGGATTTCTTCAGTCACCACAAAGTAGAATCAAACACAGTAGTTTACTTTCCAACAGTGAGACAGATATCAGTGGTCAGTTTCTTCTTTTGCCTATATTCCAAAAATCCTGCCATTTCTACTAGATTCTAAAGAGTACTTCTCCCCACCCTGTCATGGGTTAGTATTTACAGTAATATTAACTAAGGACATTTTACTAAAAGTTGTGACCTGCTAATTTTGCATGTTACAAAATACTCAAAGAGGTGACTTCATTTCTCTTTCCATAACACAGGCTAGGAAAAAGGGTAGTGGTCTTTACTTATAAAGAATACCTGACTTACCAAACAATGTAAACTTTAACTTGTTTTTTTATCATCATCTTTTTTTGTATTTTTTTCATCACCTTTTGGCTTGGACGCTTCCTCCGTTTTCTAGAAGGGAAAGCAAAACTGTCAGGGAGGTCTTTCTTTTCTGAATTAAGTATTTTAAAAAGTGATCCACAAGAGAAGGTTTATGAGAAGATAAACCCTCCTCATAAGGCTCCTCAGAATTAAAAGGGACAGAAGATGGCAATCATTGGAGGAAAATAAGATAATCCTTTCTAAGTTTCTCTTCTTCATCTGGCCAAAACACTATCTATTCTTCTCTCTCAAGATTCTAAGGTAAAAATAATCAGTGATCCTATAGTTCTCATTCCAAATTTATTTCCTAAAAAGGCATATGTAGGTAACTTTTTTAAATGCACAAGTATCATGGATAGCAATGTTTCATCTTTCTCCCATGATCCATCCCTTCTTGTATTTGGCATCATAGCTGAGCAGCTAATGCACTCATTATATTCGGCTATTATGTTTTCTATTTCTTGTTAAGAGATTGATAAACTACTTTGTTAATGCTAAACTTAATAAAAAATAAATATTTAATACACTTGAGATGTATGTTATGAGCAGCTTAATTATCAATCATGTTTCTTGTATCTTTTAATGGAATCCATTACAAAATCTCATTATCTTGTTTTTAAGAGTTTTGATGCAATTTGACTATAGTGTAAAGCTGTACCTTTAATTTCTTATAATAGAGGACCATAGTTACAACCATTGAGTGGCATGTTCTTGAAATTGCAAAGGATATAGAAATTGTCTAATCCACTGTTCTCACCTGACCACAGCTTCAGTAATTTTAATAATAGGAAGCTCCCAAATGTGTTCCACTGATGCCTAAATCTAAGACTTAAACTAGATCCTATAAGTTCCATTCATTAGCTTTCATTTTACTTTCTAGAGCAACATGCCAAATTATTTACTGCCATAGGTTGGATGTTAGATGTCTGCCAAGATCCATCTGTAAAAGGACTCGTCCTCCAGGTGGCACTGTTGGGGGGTACCATGACCTTTAGGAAGCAGAGCCTCTTGGGAGTCCCTTAGGCCTCTGGGGCTGTCCCTCTAGGAGGATAGTGGTACCCCACTCTTCCTTTTTGTTTCCTATCTTATGATGTGAGCAATCTGTTCTGACATATGCAAACCAACAGGATGTGCTGCCTCACCAGAGGAACAAAGCAATGGGGCCAATCAGTCATGGACTAGGCCCTCCAAAATCATGAGCCAAGCCAGGCGTGGTGGCGCACTCCTATAAATCCCAGCACTCGGGAGGCTGAGGCAGGAGGATCGCCGTGAGTTTGAGACCAGTCTGGGCTACATAGTGAGTTCCAGGTCAGTCTCAACTACATAGTGAGACCCTGTCTCAAAAAAACCCCAAACAAATAAACAAAAAAATAATCATGAGCCAAAATAAGCCTATTCTCTGCCTTGGCTTGAGTATTCATTATAATGATAGAAAACTGAATAATACATGAACTAGTAGTTATCTCTCGTATGAATCTCCTTCTCAGGTGGACCACAGAAACTAATATCCTCCCCGATTTTATATATTGCCTTCCATGCTCTAAAATTTATATAAATCACACACTCAGGGTAGTGTAATAAGAGAAAGAAATACAGGCAACTTGAATTTTACTAAGAACAGTCAACTAGATTTTAAATATATATATATATATATATA